CTTGCAGTGTGACAGGAGAGACGTTAGCTTGCTAACATCACAAAAATCTGAGGCCAGGCACATTCCTCTGTATAAATAACCAGAGGGAGCTGGTGCACAAGAGGGGCGGGACGGGGGACGCGTTCAAAGACAGAGAGAGAGAGGCTTCAGGCTGCGCCGCTGAGTGATGGGACAGCTGCTGCTTATTTGCAGTGGAGAATTAAAGCAAATGAAAAGTTTAAATGCAGCTTTAAAGGTTTAACTATTCCTGAGCAGTGGCACCATACTGTTATTGTAACAACAGAGCAACTGCATCACAAAGCTGTTGTGAAAATGCACTCTAATTGCACTTCTCTATTGTAGAGTGTTTCTAAATATGGAAGGTCCCCTGCTGCTAAAGTAAGTTAAATCTGAACACAAAGATTCAACTCTAAAAACAGCAGCAGCATATTTGCATCAATAACGTCAATACAATAGAAGAAAGATATGTTTATGGCTTTTTAGCAGAGGAAAACAAAGAGAAAACTATCCTTTTTTATTCCTATTATATACAGCATTGTTGAAATATCTTGTGTCATCTCTCATTTCTCTTTTTTTCCCTCCATGCTGCCAGACGTTGTTGTAATCTGTTAGAGGTCTCAGTGAGAAGTTCTCCATGCTGTCTGAGGTTTTTTTTTAAACTTTGATGCTGTTTTACTCATCTTTGTCTAAATTTATTTTATTTTATTGTTTCCTGATCCATGAATAAATCAGGCAATAAAGCCTCGCAAACACAGAATGAACAAAAGAAAAACAAAGGACTCTTTCTGAATTGAATATTAGCGTCTTTGCCACAGGGTTAGGATTCTCCTGTAGGCCTTCTTTATTTTACCTTAACTCCTGCTGCCACGGTTAGCTGTGAATTTGGGACAGGAACAACATAAAATGCTGAAAACTACACCTGCTTATACATTAAATGTCAGATATTTTTGTCTAGGTGCCCAAAAAGGTTAAACTGACTCCGCCAGATGGATTTGCTCTGCATATCCATCTGGAAACCTTCTGTTGAAGTAATTTTGGGAAGGGGCGAAAATACTGGTTAGCTGATTGGCCTATGATAAACCAATCAGATCAACGAAGCATATGACGTACTAACAGACCGATGACGAAAACACAACCACAAGCCAGGCTACTCTTGCTGAAACCGGGAGAAGAGCAAAAACATATTTTCCTCTGAGAAAAGCCTCCAGAGCAGTGTTTTGCTCTTCTTTCAGTGAAGAAATACTCTATAATTACGATAAAACTTGCTCGATAGCCACGCTAACGCTAGTTTCATCGGCTGAAGCCGCCATGTTCT